ATCGAAAATAAGTAGACACGCTATAGCAATCAGCAAATAATACCGAAGAAAATCATGTATGAAGATTTATAAAAAGAAGAAATTTTACATAAAAAGTAAATTTAATAAAGGTTTTACTATAAAATATGAAAATTACTTCTACTAACACTAACTCTTTATATTAAAATTTCAACATATATATATAGTAGAACTACAAACTAAATAACTAAATGAGCTCTTGAAATGACCTTCAAACTTTTTCTAAGTATAAATAAGTATTTGTACTACATACCAACATTTTGAAGTGAACATAGACTTTTACGAATACATACACATAAAAAACAGCCTATATTTAATATGACTACATGAAGTAAATATAATATTACTGTAAAACCAACATATTTAAGTAAACTATAAATTTAAACTAGGTACTCACATAGATAGACGTTAAAAAACTTGTTGTAATAAAATAAGCTAAATATGCCTAAAAAGGAATCATAGTAATAAATAGATAAGTCAGATATTGTGAGCCAAGCCCAAAGATCGATAAAAGTTTAACATTTAAATTTTAAAAAAATAAATATTGCGAATATATAAACTTTATAAACTTTTGTAAATATACATACGATATAATTAAATATAATGCAATGCAATAAAATTAATTTTGAATAAAAAGAGTGGAACAATTTAAGGAAGTTGTTTTTAATTTATTTGATAAATTTCGGGTTCTATTAAAATATTGTCGCTATTTCGAAAATATTCCAAAATCATTGAATTTCGCCTTAATTCCCAGTGTAAAAAAGCTCAAGCTATTCATGCTCATGTCCTTATGCCTACTCTCTTTCCTATTATTAAAATATGTTTTTTTTTCCTCCTCTTCTCTACGAATCGCTCTATTGCTGGGTGGACCTATCTGTTGGATACTAGGGTGATTGACTCTGTTTCTCCCAACCGGTTTCCGCCGAGTTTTTGATCTTGATTTTTCGATTATGGAATTAACCGGATGTTTTTATCGAACAAACCTGTTTTTTCATTTCATACAATTCATAACCTCTCAATAAAAATTTTGAGTTTTTCGAAGCGTCCTAGGCAGGGCTGTTAAGTAATGATTATGAATTGTAATGATTACCGATTTAATTAATTATTATTTTTTAAATCTGCTATATGATTTATTACTATTATTTCCACTTTTAAATTAATAATTACCGATTACCATTAAAAATAATCAAAAAATATTATATTTTTAGCCAATTGGAAGAAAAAAATTCAAAATAATCAAAAAAGCTAATGAGATTAGTTTCACAATAAAATTATTATTTTTTTATTACTTTTGATAATTTATAATTATGAAAATTATTTGAAATAAAATGGGTTGCTCAGACGAAAAAAATTTTTTTTTCGACAAACATATGTATGTAGCTGTGAAATACGGTGTTATGTTGTTCTTTCAAATGACCATAAATAACAGGACTCCTAGGTTATTTGGGAATGAGCAGTATATGATATTTGGCCGAGCTTCTCCTTCAATTCGTGTTCTGCTTCGTGATGTTGTGACACAAATTGAGAGATCTTCACTTTTACTTCAGAAGAAGCTTTTTTATGGGGTTTGCCATTGTTTGACGAGGAGCGACCGCTATTTGAAAAGAACTTTTTTCATGTTTCTGGGCCCAGAAATTTAACCATGGACCTACCGAGTGTCATTATGCACCTCTAGGCACTCGGATACGGCGGCAAAGGCACTAATCAAATCCGAAAAAAAAATTAAAGAAACTATTAAAAATGTTAAAATAAGACGAAACGTGAAATTTTCACTGATTTTTATTTATTTTACTTTTGATCTTTGCATTTTTACATATTTATATATTTTACTTTTCTCTTTTCTAAATACAAGCTATATTTATTGTTAATAGTTGTATTGAGATTTGTGGCCATGACTTAATATGGGCATTTTCACTGTAAGAAAACTATGTAAAATAAAACCGGTTTATCCGAGTTTTTCGTAATTTCAAAATCTGGAACCAGTTTTTTTTTTTCAAATTGCAATTTTTCGAATAACTCGAAAACCGATTTTGTAAAAAAGGTGAATAATCGAACACTCTAATGGATATTCTCGGAAGTATCGGCATAGCACACTTCGTTATGACAGCTGTTTCCGCGTAAGTCACTGTAACTGGTCCTCTTCAGCAGCCGTACCAAGAGCGATAAGCAATTGCTTATTCAAGCAATTCGTGATCGAAATAGCTTGGCATACCTTGGCTGTAATCCAGTGATCCTAGTCGATATTAGCTTCTCTTAAGGGTGAAACATCAACTTCTATATCAGCAATTATGAACTATGCTGCGCCTGTTTCGTCATCACGGATTAGTAAGACGCAGACGCACTGTTGACATGCTGCGGGATGCATTCTAATGTGACCAGAAAATACCCTACGATTCCCCAGTAAGCAAACGTAATACATAAATAAATATAATGCTGACCAAGCAGTTTTTGGTCGACTGCTAGCAACGTGAGCAGCAGACCTGGCACTTTTTGGAAGCTGGAACCTTGCATGGGCACGCCAAAAGGCTTCCTTGTGAACAGAAATACGGGATGCAATACTGCATCTGACAACCACTGAACTCGACGCTGTGCAGATATGTTGGCAACTAACAACGTTGACAGAGAGGCTATCTCGCGTACACCATCATCGAAGTACAACCACAACCCTTTGCAGAGGAAGATTTTCAGCTGCCTACCGAAACCCGCTTTACTTTAGCGCAATTATGAGCCAGCCCATATGAAGGTTTTCCGCATGACACCAACCAGTTCTTCATATGCCCTTAACTCTCCTCAGCTAACAGCTCTCTAACTTGGGTCCCAAAACGTCAACAAAGCACGTTTTCTGATTCTACCATCAATTAAACTTAACGACAATTACTAAAGCTTAGCCATTTCTAGACAGATGTAAGCAGCCCCTACTCCAACAAAAATAACACCAACAAGCTCAGTTGTCCTCTTCATCGTCATCTCACCAGAAAAAGCTCTTCAAATGTCCACTGTCTGGGCGACTCTTCTCCCATGCGGTGTGTTGTAATTTAACTATGTGTGTGTGTAAATTTGTGGTGACTAGACCACAAATATTGGTTTCAGATAAATTTGAATAGAAAGCCTTTTAGGAAAGGGCTGCAGTACAAAAATCAATAGGAAAATAAACCTTGTGCAGTCTAACGCCTGGGACACACATGTAGTATAGATCGTAATATTGTTGCACTACAATTTTTAACTTGGGTTAGGTTAGGTCAACTGGATAGACACTTCGTGGCTTCGAGACCATTAAGGTCCATAGTATTTACAGATAAACCCCGAACACATCAGACCACCAAACCGGGTAACAGTGGTACGGAGAATCCTGAAGAAAATAGAGGGAGAACTTACTGCATATGCGGATGATATTTCTGTCATAGTAAGCGGAAAGTGTCCCTCCACACTCAGATCTTTTATGAGCCAAGGACTACGGGTGACACATTTTTGGGCAATCAAAGTGAGGCTTACTATCAACGCAGAAAAAATAGATCTGATAATCTCTACCAGGAAATACAAGGTTACGAACTGGTCCAAGCCTAAACTAGATGAGGTGACCCTTCAGGTAAAGCAAAGCTCCAAGTACCTCGGAAAAATACTTGATAGTAAGCTGTCGTCGCACCTCAGTGTGGAGTATAGGGCGAAGGAGACCTCAGTGGCTTTCTATGCATGCAAAAAGATGCTGAGCGACACCTGGGGCTTGTCTCCTTCTATTTCTCACTTAATCTTCACCGCAATAGTCAGACCGATACTGGTTCATGGGGTATTGGTTTGATGGACAGCATTGAAGAAGAAAACATTTGTTAAGAGTATGGAAAGTTTATATAGTCCATCAATGATCGGCATGACAGGGATACTAATGATGGCATTAACGGCAACACTCTACACCTTGTTGCATCTCTCCCGGCGGACCTATCGGCCATATAGGGTAAAAAACTGTCACCAGGCCTTATGCTAGAGGTCAGTTTGTATGTAGGTCTTACGGTCGCAGTGGTATAGCGGCAGCTTTTAAAGGACGGTTTGACTATGTGATGGCGGATCTGAACTTTTCAATGAGCTTCGAGATCGAAGACTGGCGTGAGGCATGAGGAGTGCTGGCTCCGTGAATCTCTATACAGCGAATCGAAGATGGAGAACGGCTTATAAGCTGCCAAATTAAGGAGGTCGGTGGAGTTACTGAACAGCACTCCACGAAATAAGCAGGTGAATTTCTATATAGACAGTTAGGCTGCGATAAAGGCGCCACTATCTCACAGCACTTCCTCTAAATGTGTGACGGAGTGCTACATACCAATATCCTTACTGGGTTCCGGAGCACAGCGCCGTCGCTGGCAACGAGAAGGCCGACAGGCTTGCCAAATAGAGTTGTTTGTCGGAAACCACGCTGATAGAGTAGGTAGAGGGATTAAATGGAAACTCGATCTGTCTACGATCAGGAAGGCGCAGAAGGCGTGGAACAAAAGGCAAGGCTGCAAGATGTCCAGGGTTATGTGCAGAGCATATGACATGAAGCTCACGAAGTTTCTCAGTTCCCTCAATAGAGATGTCTCTAGACCATTGCCTGCTACGCTGGCCTTTAAACTGACTTTGGAACGTCTTATTGTACACATTTTTTGGTGGCGGCTTCCTCAGAGGACAGAAAGCTTCCTCCTAGGAGACTTATCCACAGTCCTCTAAGGGCAATAAACTCGCAGAAGGTATGTTCCACTGTCTCCTCTTTCGATCTGAATCTTCTCTCATAACTCATAAATAGTTTAAAGGCGTGCGGTGTTAGCAAGTAACGTCCCGTTAGAGTACTTACTAAACCCTTAAATTGTCCCGACATTAAAAAAAAAAAAACAGTTTATAAGCAAGCCAAACAAACATTTTTTTATTAAGATTTCATCTCATCTTCTTTTTCTTTTAAAACTTCAAGTGCAAACATTTGTATACAAAAAAGTGTTGTTTAGACTTTAAAGCTGTCAGTAGCAGAAGAAAGAGAGTCGTGGGTATTTTTGTGACTCACAACTGTGATTTAAGCGCGGTGGAAAAAAAACAAGCTGAAAAGCACAGCTGCACTGTCGCACACTTCACTGCATTCCAAACGATTTATGAAATCGACATAACTGTAACATTTTTCACGAACTTTACAAACTGCCACGTGTGTTCCATACGCAGCCTTACAAAGCTCCGGCAAACACATACACACTCACACACCACACGCATCCTTTTTATGGTGTTGTGCAAAACAGATAACTCAGCATGGATGGCTGCACATTGAAACGTATGTGCGCCTCCTCCCATTTGGTGTGAATTAAACGTTGTAACGGCGTATTCGTTGTCAATTCTTCACGTGCCAGCAAATCGGCACTGTCACCGCCACTCGCAGTGCTCTTACCACTACCAACACCGCCGCCACCACCACCCCCAACGCCAGCTGCTGTACTACCACTCTCTGCTGCTGCACTTTCTGTGGTCGCCTGCCGCTCCAACATGCCAATGGCTTGCTCATTGTACACGCGATTATCGATAGCCATGAAAATGTTGTGGCCAGAGCAGCTGTAATAATTCAAATCGAACCGCGACTCGGCATGATAATTTCGTAAAAGTTCCGGATTCCGATTGAAAAGCACACCAAAGTGACCGCAACAGCTGGTAATCCAAATCGGGTAGTTGGGTGTTTTGAGGCGCGAACCTGGTTGTCGGGAGGCCGCCACGGAGGGCTGTTGGGTAGAAAGGAGAAAAAAGGTGCGTATGCAATTAATGTGGGGATAAACGTTTTTGGAAAAAGGGCGTTTTTCAAGTAGATTTTAAAATTAAGCTGCCCTTTTTGGACATTTTTTCTGAAAACAAAATTTGTTTCTAAAGGACTGGCAAATTTTCAAATTTACTTGAGGAAGCCCCTTAATATTTTTTAACATTTGTTTTACTCGATTTTATTTCTTTTTCATTTTCTTATTTTATTACCTGCGAATTATCATTGTCCCAGAGTAAAAAACCGATTGTACATCGACTCAGTATTCCATATTGTGGTATAGCCTAAATTATATAATATTTTTATTCAAAAAAAATTCTTCAAAAAATTGTTTTTTGCAACTCTCTGACTTACATAGGTATTCTCGTCGCCTACATTTACAACACCATTATGCAGATAAGGCGTGGCACGTCCAGTCAAAAGTAAGGTTACAATCATCAGGGAGCCCTCCTCATTGTTCGTCATTGTCAATGGCGCTGATTTGCTTGTTGAATCAAGATCGTTGCGGATTCTGAAAAGTCGAGTAGTATAAAAAACGATTATAACAAAATATAATTTAATGCCCAGTGGAAATCCAGCATAAGAGCTGTCTTACTTGCTCATCGAACGCGTCAATACGGCGCTGTATAGAAATAGCAACGTACCAGGTGAGTCCTCTTCAGTAAACTATTTTTTTTGTATTAAAAATAAATAAAATTTAAGCTATTCAAATCAGAAATGGTAAAAACAGTTTCAGAATTTACCAACTTCAAGTGCCGCTTTATAAAGAATTCCAGCTCATCATGCGGGGATAGCGTGAAAACATATAACTTTAAAGAAGAAAATCTTAAATCTTCAGAAAATATGCAGTAAAGCTTCAGAACTTAAAGTTCCTTTTAAGAAAGTAGTAACAGGTTGACCGAGCTTTGATTGGAATGCATATCATTTTCAAAGTTTTCAATGTTTGGCAATCAAATAATAATAGCCAATTCGATAGTTTTCATTTAAAAATATCTACTTAATATTACGCCTATCGAATACCTCTTTTCAAACAAATTATTTATATCGATACAAAAAAATAGTATCGATGCGTAAAGGCGGATTCGTCGTTCTAGTTTTGAACTAAAGATGAGGTTGAGTTAACAACTCAAAAGTGTTCAGAACATTTTTCAGTTGCTCTCCCGGAGAGAGAAACACAACAACAACTACATGGAAGAAAAGTTCTGAACTAGAACGATGAATCCGCCTTTAATATTTTAGCCTATTAAGTACCGCAGTATACAGTGAAAAAAATTAGACTTTGAAAAAATAATGTTGGTAAACAAATATACAGTGACTAAAAGAAATGACCACGTGTTGATTTTTTTTTTATATTCGTAATGTTTTTCGAGCTTATTTTTTTGTTGTTGTTGTTTTTCTATAAAAATAACGTGCAAGCTTTAACCAATACCATATAAATCACAATTTCAAACTTCATACTAAATTTGAGAAGTTCAACAAATTTTCATCGAAATTTCAACTTTTTATTCTGTTTCTTTAGAACATTTTTTGGTATGCAGTTTTATAGCACATACAATTTTAGTCTAATGAATTGCAAGTTTAAAACGGCTAAAAAACCGCGTTGATTTTTGAGATTTTTTTTTTGGTACGGATTTTTGCACATTTTTCCACTTAAGCATGCATTTCTTATGAAATATAACGCGGGACGTACAATTACGTTACGGCTGTTCTTCTGGTCTCCTGACCCAAGCTTTCTTAATGCCATTGTTTTCGCGTATTCATCTACATTTTTCCACAGCGAGCTATATAGTTATAAAGGCCACACAAATTGTTTGTTCCATTTGGATGTATGAAAATGATATGTAGGGTAATTTGTAGGCAAAAACTATATTTGCGTAGAGAAAAGTAGGGATTTTCTTGAGATGCGGTATGAATTTATTCAAAAATGTATTGGCATCACTGCTTTAAAGTACTTCTTTACTATAACTGTAAACTTGCAATGTTGCATATTATTCACCAACAGCAGCCAAACTGCCAACCAGAAAGTTGAAAGCTTAAAAAAGCTGAAAAATTCGTACGAGAAAGTATAAGTTGCGTTTTATCCACAATTCTCAACTTGCGTAAGAAATGAATTTCAAGCAGAAAACTTGCCCAAGTCAATGAACTCGATGAAATTGCATTGTTTAGTTGGAATGAGTTCACCTCTCACTAGCCGGGTTAAATATATTATGTATGTATGTATGTATGTATATAAAATGCGTTACCTTAAGCTCTTACCTTTTCAGTCACGCCATCATGGAAGAATGTCACACTATGATCAACGAAAACTTCATCTTCCGGTGACGGCAAGACCATTGTCACTTTACCTTTATCAGAAATCAGTCGCAGAATTTCGACCAACGCATTTATGAGCGCATTTGTTTGCATATCCGGAGTGCATATTAAAGGACTGAATACAAATTAAAAAATAAAAAATAAATAAAAATCAAAAAAAAAAAATAAAAATTATTGTCGTTATGATTTTGTTTCAAATAAAAAATTTCTTAAACATACTCCTGATTAGTGCGACCACGTCGACCGAAGAGCAAATACTTCAAAATAAAACCCTGTACGACGGAGAGCAGACCACGTGTGGCATTGCGCGGTGAACGTAGTCCATAGGAGAGCTCCTCTTTGGGTGATCCAAATGTGAATGGCGTTTGTGTCCACTCACCACGCATGGGTATCGATGAAGTGCCAAACACTAGCTGACGGAGTTCCTGTATAGAAAGTGTAGGGATTTTGAATGTATAGTTTAGGAAAACAAAAAGAGTATTTATGTAAGTTTAGCTAAAATTTCATTTCAAAAATGCTAAGTAAAGTCACATACAGAGAGGTGTGGTAAAACTTTCGAAAATTTAAGAAGTTGCTTCAAAGCATAAATAGACGGTAGCTTTGACCCGAATCAACTCTTTAAATAGGAATTTAAGGTGCTCCGGAATGAGTCCTGCAGCTATCCTCAATATTATTGTGGGTCCGGGGAATATTCGATGACAACACTGGCCAAAATGGCCAGCAAGGAAGCAGAATTGCGTACTGCAATTGCCAATTTTTTTATTTTAATTTTTATTTTATTTATTTTTATAAAGTATGAACTTCCTCTTATTTTCAAAGATTTAGTACGATTTTAAATATTAAATCTCTTTTTAATATAATTTTTTTTTATTCTTTGTTTTTGCTATTTTATGGCATTTTTTAGCAATTATATTCAACAATTTTATTGAGCTTGAGGCCGTTTTTAAATGAAAAAAAAATGTTGTGGAAAAACATCAGACTTCTTCATCACGTTCTCTGGGATTTGCTGTGGTGATGTGGTGATCTCCGAAAAAACGGCTTTACCCAACTTTTACCTTTGCAAATTTATGTTATTTTTCTACAATACCTTTTCGTTTAAAAACGGCGGTGAGTTATAAAATTTTTTTTAGCTTCAGTTATTTAATTTTTCATCATTAATTTGGTTGTAACTTTATTTTATTTTTTACTACCCAATTGTTATTTTTTTTATTATATAACATAGATGAATTAAATTTTAGTGACAATAATATATGTACACATATATTTTCAAAAAAAAAAACAACAAATAATAATAATAATAATAGTAAAGTTTGTGTTTTCACAAAAAGTTTCTTTCTAACATTTTATTAACCAAAATTTTTTACTTATTTTTCAAGCAGCGTTATGTTTTTTTTAATTTTACCGTTGCAAGTTCTGGCGTTATAGGCGTTCCACCTTCGGTTATAAAACGTGCGCTCATAACTTCGATCTTTTTTCTCCAAGTCGTTTATAATTTTAACTAATTAGTTTTTGCACTATTTTATTTACTATAACTTTATCTACTTTATTTTTCGAACTTTTTAGCTAACTACAAAACTAATTACAACTAAAAATTTATGATTTATTAGTTTCTTTCCCACTACACGATAGTAGACGTTTACACCGTTTCGCTGCTCAGAGCGAAATGATTTTTGAAAATCACAAATTTCACGCTACTAAAGTGGCAAACTGACAAAAAAGGTTTCCGTTTTCCATTATATTCACGCGCACTATTCAATAAATTTTAATTTCAAATGCCATGAGCACAAGTGCACACTTAAGGACCTGCATTAAAGGACAGCCAAACACATTTGCACGAAACTACATTTTAACACACAAATACCAGTAGAAGTGCTTTTAGGCCTAGGCCAGTAAGATGCATCCACACTCATACATATGTATGTATTTAACACAATGTGGGTGTGTCTTTTCCGTTAAGCAAAATATTAAAGTAGCTAGGAATTTGATATTTTTTATTCATCATTTTATTTTTCATAAATATCAACGTTCACACTTGGCCTAAAACTTTTGCCGTACCGCATGGCGGCTGCCTGCTGTTGCCTGCCAGTCATTCAAAATTTAAGCGAAATTGAAATTTACTTCACACCTACTATTAAAGTATTTAAGTACTTACTTGCATACTATGTACATATGTTTGTATGCAGGCTTGCTCATGCATTTTTGGTTAGAGTGGCACGAGTTACTTCGCAGTTATAATAGTTGATATGGTTGGTGGCAGGCCGCCGGTTGCAGGAAATGCAGTTGACAGCAGGATTTCCATTCAGATTCTCTGCCAGCCAATAAATGTAAGGCATTATTTACTACATATGTATGTATGCATATTTATACATATGTAAACATATATGAGTGAGCTTAGATATTTGTATTTGATAGATGCACTTGTCATAGTTAACTGTTATATGCGAAACGTTGCATGCAACCGTTAGCGATTTGGCGAGTATTTGGAACAAATTTAAATGTACTTAACACCTCATGATAGTTTTAGTTGCATTTTTTTTTTTGCACGAACTTTATTCTAATGCCATAACAAAAATGTATGTAGGTATGCTTTTCCAATCACAGCTGATTGAACTTCAAGTTCAAACTAATATTTTAATAGATACTTGTCCTCACATTGAAAATATTTAACCTACACACCTAATAAATATCTATGTAATGGTATAGTACTTACCCTTCCATATACAGGCGCGCATCCACGGTGGGAACTAGGGGTAAGGGTAAGTTCGCCCCAAAGGTTATTAATATCTACGCGAAAAAATGGAGCCCTTTATCTGATTTCCTATAAGTCACTTCCATTGAATAAAGACTTATATTCCGTTAGCTTTTAAAAATAAAAACGTTTCCATGGATTAATATAAATGTAGACTGACTGGAACAAAAGCTTCTCATCTGGGGGCCGTACGATATAATTTTGAATTTCTTATTTGTTCTTTCTGCCATTGTGACATTTTATCACTAAAGCAGCATCGTGAGATTGGAGAAAGAAATTAACGACCATCCAAAAGCATCAGACTGCGCAACACTTAGGGTTGCAACACTAAATAAACGAAGAATTCATGTAGAATATCACTTCCTTAGGATTTCCTAATATGCCAAACAATTAGCTGAAAAGTGCCCGGCCTGTTTGTTAAGGTTATAGAAAAGTCTCTGGAAAGCAAAGACTTCGCAGTTGGGGCATTTCTGGATGTTGACGGGGGCCTTTAATAACGTGTTACCCGAGGCAAGCTCGGAGTTGAGACCAACCTAGTTGCGGATATCTCACGCATTCTCTGCGACAGAACTGTCGTTGCTAAGTGGTGTAAGGTTAGTAGGGGCACCCGCAAGGGGAGGTTATCTCATCTGTCCTCTGGGTCATTGTCATTAATGACAACCTGGAGGAACTGGAAAGGATAGACTGTCGGGCGATCGCTTATGCCGCTGATATGGCACTTATTTATTGTCAGGGGTAAGTTTCTGAACACTCTATACGACCTTACGCAGGGATACCTAAATTTACTCACAAAATGATCTGCAAACTGCGGGCTTTCTTTTTCACCAGGAGATACAAGGTGCATGATGCCCAGCTTCTCTCGATTGTGCTTTCTGATAGAGTCAATTACTTGGGAGTGATTCTTGAAAGAAAACTAATATCAAGGAGCGAGTGAGGAACGCATCGCTTGCCCTTTCTTGCTGTAAAAACGCTATTGGAAAGAGATGGGGTTATTTTCTGGCTTTATGAAACCGTTATTAAACCTGTTATGCTGCATGGAGCCATTGCTTGGTGGAACTCACTAGAAAGTTCCACACTAGCCAAGCGGCTGGAACCTGTGCAAAGGGCTTTCCTAAACTAAACTTCTACAGATGTGCCGCAACTGTCTGGAGGACGATGAGGTGGAATCATCTCAGCACTCTCTTCTCAGCTGCCCTGCTTTTGCGATGCTCAGGTTTAAACATCGCGGGTCGAAATAATGGCAATTTTTTATTTACCATTTCCTTAGGAGCTGGGTACTAAGCTTCAGGCTACTGTTACCTAAGCTAATGATCCACTTTGAGGCAAAAGATACTATCTAACATATCAGTAATCTCATATGTAGAACTTTTCGGTAAGTTTGAGGCAGGGAATGAACAACAATAACAAAAATTGAGGCTGGGACTAGTGCTTTGGCAACCGTAATGGAAGCTGCAAATGGAATCCGTCACAGAGATTCCATATGAAATCGAGACACTCACACATTGGGACTATTAATACTCTACTTCATACACTTTCAAAATTTCCAGCTACGAATGCCAGCTCTCAAAGGTCTTTCTCTTCTTTGCGTCGAATGAAACCTAATGACACTACAGCAAAATACCAAGATAACTATTTTCGCAATTTAGAAAACTCCAAATTGAATTTAGACCCATGGTCTTTTTGGCAAATTTGCAAATTTACATATATGCATTAAAAGTAATTGAGATACATTATATTGAAAGTTATAATCCCCCCATTTTTGCTCTGGATCCGCCTCTGTTCATATATCCATTATTTATTTTTTTTATTTTTTGTTGCGTTGGCCCAAAAAATTTCTGTGTATTGCTATTAAATCATGGATACAATGTGAAATAGTTATCATCAATCAAAGGCTGCATATGCATTGCTTTCAGGTGTATATTTTTGAAAATGACGTAGAATTAGGCAGAGAATTTGAATATGGTAGATAATTTTTTATCGATATGTATAATCTACTTTGTGTATAAGTGCTTATCATAAATATATGACATTCACATATTGACCAGTTTCGACTATTTATTTTTTATTCATTAAATTTTAATTATTTTGTATTTTTTTTTTAAATACAATACATTTTTCAGCAAAAACCATATAACTCCAAATTTCAAGCTTTATTCAAAATATAAAAAATCTTCAATGTTTCATCAACCTTTCACACTTTTTATTTAGATTTTTTTTTAGAAAATTTGTAGGTATGCAGTTTTGTAGCCTCTTCAATTTCAATATAAAAGTATAACGTTTACAGTAACTGCAAAATGCCGCTGATTTTTGGCAAATTTTTTGTTGACGGTTTGTGCATTTTCCTCAACGCGATCTTTCGGCAGCATAAAACTTGCATTTTATGATATTATAATCTGCACACCCATAAATTTTGATTTTGGCTATTTTTTGTACAAAGTTTGAAATATGGATTTATATGGTTTTTTTTTTATATAATGAATTATATTTTTATAAGAAAATAGTTAAAATTAAACAATAGAAAGAAAAAAATAGTCATAACTTGTCTATACGTGGGTGTCTTATAGTTACGATTAGCACTATATGTCACTTATTTGAATGTTGAAATATGTATTTAAGCATTCACACCAAATACTTCGTATAAAATTTGACAGAATTTTTTCCTCCACCCTGCATTGGGCATGAAATAGGCACGCGATTTTTATTTCAAATGTGTATTTTTTCGCTATTTTTTCTAACGTGTTTGCAGTTAAATGCACTAAATATGTATAAAATACCTGATTCGTTTGATTTATTTTTTTCACACATTACCACCATCGGCATTCACTTCGACAGATATATCACTTTGAGGTCACATAATTTTTTTTTGTGTTTCTAATAACTGTCTAACCTTGAAAGTTCAGAATCGCATACAAGTGCAAGCGAATGATATTTTACGAAAAAAAGAAAAATATTTTATTGAGGCATGTAAACTTACCCAAATTATAATTATTTGCGTTTTTTTTCATATACAATTCATGACTCATTTGAGCTTATAAAAATATCTATGTTCATTAGGGTGTTCAACAAAAAAGTTTAAAATGTTAAGCTCTTGCCCCGTAGCACTTTTGTAAATAGATAAAATTATACCCGTATTGTTTTATTTAAAACAAATGATATGTATTTAGAACTGCCTGAAAGCCCATGTAGTTTTCCAAGTATTTTATATAGGAAAAAGCACTCGTAGAAATGGTATAGAATTCCTGAAATTCAATATTTTCCGATCGGAAAACTCTTTTTGTTTTCAGGAGACTTCCAATAATAATACCCAATCGTTTATTTTACCACTTTTTTTTTGGGTGTTTTTGGTTGAATAATAGTTACATATACGATTCGTATTGTTATTGGAAGTCTTCTTAAGAGAAACAGAGTTTTCCGATCGAAAAATATAGAATTTCAAGATTACCGCATCTCATCATCAGACTTCTTTACCGAGTTCACTGAAATTTAAAGCAGGGAACTCCAGCGTCCTCCTCCTCCAGGGAACTCCTTTTCCAATTTTGTGAAGCAAAAATAAATTACAAATTTTCAACCAGAAAATAACTTTTAATTTTTTACTCTTTATTTTATAGAAATAATGCGATTTTTTTTAAAAGATTTTTTTGAAACTTTAGAAATTTTTCGAGACCGTTCTAAAGGCACTTTTTTGGTTTTTTCGTGTTTTCTTCTGCCCTATGTTTTTTTTCAGTTTTGAAGTATTTTGGCGTTTTTTCTGGAATTTTTTTCGGAATTTTCCAGCACAGTTCAGAATTTTTCGTGCTTTACTTTTCGAGATTATTTTGGCAGCTTTTCTTACATTTTCGATACTTTACTAGATTTTAGCGGCGCGCTTTATTATTATAGGTGTTTTATTTTTCGGGTACTTTTGAAAACCGTCAGTGTATTTAGTTTTTTTAGGACTTTTCCGGGTATTTCATGCTTTTAATTTGCCTAGAATTTTGTTGTTTTTGATAATACTATGAAATACCTCGAAAGTTTTAGCATTTTTTCGGGATTTTCCGGCACAGTTCAGACCTATTCGTGTTTAACTTTTTAGGATTTTTTTGAAAATATTTGAAATTTCTGAAACTTTTGGTTTATAAGTGTTTTATTTTCCGTGGTATTTTAATATTTTTTTCGATTTTATTGGACTTTTTCCGGCACTTGTCTGGGTATTTTTTAGTGGTTTAGTTTTTCGTTCTTCATTTTTTAGTTTTTGATAATGAAATGAAATACCTTGAAATATTTTTTTCAGGCTTTTCGGCAAAATTTTCTGATTTTACTTTTAAAATTTTTTTGGTTGTTTTGAAAATGTTTCAATGTTTTTCAGGATTTTTTTGCGGGGCTTTTTGGCATTATAAATCTTTTATTTTTCGGATTTTTTAGAACTTTTCTGGCTTTTATTGTTTTTTTTTTGTATTTTTTTTTTTTGATTTCGATAATAAAATGAAATCTTCGAAAATTTTACCATTTTTTCACGACTTTTTTTAGAAATTTTTTAGATTTTTTTAGTATTAGAAGTGTTTTATTTTTGGAGTTCTTTTAAAATTGTATTCGTTTTTTTTTTTCAGATGTTTTGGGGACTTTTGTGGTTATTTCGTATTTTAGTTTTGTGCGATCGGAACTTTTCGGGATTATTCGGGGTTTTATTCAAATTTTTTTTAGCTTTCCTGGAATTTTTTTCGGATATTTCAGCTTTTTGAAACTTTTCAGGAATTTGCGAGAACTCTCAGGCAAAAGTACATCTAAAAAGTCAAATTTGAAACATGACTTTGCTTTTTTAAATACTTAAAAATTTTCCTTAAAAAAAATTAAAAGAGCCGCTTTTATTTTGATCACTCGGAACTTGTCTAAAGTTTTCGGTAAAATTCAGATTGTTGAGACAGTTTTTTCAAACTTTTCGAGGATGTTTTCACACTTTGCTAGATCTTTCAGATTTTTTCGGGACTTTTCAGGTTTTTTGGGATCTTTCAAGTCCAAAAACAATTTAAATCCCAAAAGTTGTTTTTTAGTTCAAAGCTTCGCCTTATAAACTAAAAAGCCACTAAAGCAATCGGAATTTCTTTTTAGTTAAACTAAAACTGTTTGCTAATTACTTATTTTAAAATACATACTTGGTACGGTCTCTCGTTTGGGGTGCAGAATAAGTTCCAGATATTTCATTTCATCTTTTTTCTTTCTTTAGTTATGTGGTTCTAGTTTAGGTTAGGTTATTGTGGCAGACCCCACACGGGGGTACTCACTGAGACATTGATTCGATTGTCCATTGCCTTACCACAATGTGGTTCTAGAACTGTTTGTAGTTTAATGTGTCGTGAATAGGACGGTGGAAGGTTAACTCCCAGGCTCAGTGATTAATTACTCGGGATGATGGTGATAACTATTAGTTACTCATACGCCATGGTAGTCAGACAAGTGCCCAGGCCTGCCGATTTGGCTCAAACCCGCCACTTTTTGGCTTTATTTTACTTCAAGTGGTACTGGAAAATTTTAAACTTATTTCGATTAAGAATAATGGCACTTTTTCTTTTGCTATTTGGCACTTTTTTTATACCCAATATGGCTTTTTTATACCCTCTTAGCTAAGAATATTTGGCAGTCCTGCTTGAAAATTTTTTGAATTGAAAAGTTTTTGTCTACTTTATTTATTTAAAAAATCATATTTTATTTATAATAAATGTTTACATACAAGTATACACTGTAACAAATATTATTCTGAAGTAAATACATACATAATTACTTACTATGTAGTACGATAATACAGGCAAATAAAATGAATTGAAATTATAAAGTTAATAAAATATATATTATTTTCACTGCTTATATAGAATGCATACAAATGCATAACCGGTAATTAAATATATGCAATTAATTTTTTTATGTGTATGTTTTTATAAAGTATTTTCTTTTATACTTAAATAACTAAAAACCATTAACGTCTACTTATTTATGCTCCGATAAATCATTGGAGCCGAACGATCGTTAGTTTTGGTGTGACGCAGTTTGACTGTGGCAAATTGGGATGCACTTTATTTGTGAATAAAGAAGCAGTTAGAGATGGAATAAACAAAGAAAATTATTTCATATTAGGTTGAAATGCCAGACAATTTATTTATTTTTTTTGAATATTAAGAGAATTTGAAAAATTAAGAAATTCTTGGATTGCTTGGAATAATCTTTTGTTATATATAATGTATATACATTAATAATATACAGGGTTAAAATAAAGGTATTTGTTTCTTGAGATTGCTTAATATATTTGAATATATATGTATATAGTTTTTTAATTGCATTTTAACAAACTTTAACTCATCCAACTAAGCTTTAAATACTTCCTAAAATTCTAATAGATAGCACATCGATATATACTAATACACATATAATAATATTTAAATGTACATACATACGTATAGATATGTACGGTATACATACAAAAATGCTTGCTGCTGTTAATTAGCAGTACATATTTAATAAGTTTTCTTGTTGTTTTCGTCTATAGAACAGTGTCTTGTTTTTTATGTGTTTCGAGCAAATTCAATGTAGTTTTGTTTTAGCTGTTGTTCTTTTTTATTGTTGTTTGTGGTTATTGTTTTGTGTGGTGTAGTGTTGATAGAGAGCTGGACTTAAAAGTTTGCATCAATTTTGCGTAATTTCTATTTTTTTTTGGTTCTAGAAGTCTATGTAAATGTTGCGGAAGGCACCACCCTTTCTAGAAATACACATAGAAAAGAGAGGAAATATACAGAATTTTTATAGGATTAAAATTTAGCAAGCGAATGGTTTGCCAATTAGTGGTGAATGTAGGGAATGAATATTAAAAGAAGGAAATGAGTTTTATTAGCAATGAAAACAATTGATTAAATGAAGCAGCGATAGTTAAGAATTTATAAATTTGAGTTATTAAAGCAAATAGCATTTCCTAAGAGAAACTAAAACACGTATAGTAGAGTGCATTAATTTTTTCGATTAAGCGTATAGCAGAAGCGTAATTTACGGACAATTCTGGGAAAATTTTCCCAAGAAACCATAGTCCTGAATTCAAAACAACAAGCGCTTAGCCGATGATATAGTTTGATACTTATATCAATTTCAATAAGTTTCCTATAAAAGTGCCACATCTTTTAGATTTATCTTACATAGAAATTTTCTCCTCGAAAATCCGTAGCTCGGTTTTGATGTTGGAACTATGGTTTCTGGGGCACATTTTCTTAGTATCTACCATAGATTACGTTTATGCTAATGCTTTGTCAAGGTTTTTCATGCTGAACAAAGCGATGCACCCTAATGTATAGTTCAAGGAAGACTGTCGAAATCGTGTCACTTTTACTTGGCTATATTGAAGTTTTGACCACTTGCCTACTACGCACTCCAAGCTGATTTTCTGTTTGTTTGCTTACGTGTTTGCTCAGAGAACGTAGAATACAGAGTAAATGAAAAACTATACTGGACATCTACCCCGTCGCCGGTAAGGCAGTCAGCATTCTAATTCAGATAGTAATCCAATTGAAATTGAATAAGAACTTACAATGACCCACACAAATGACTACGTGTTAATTATTTTTTTTTAATATTAGTAATGTTCTTCGAGCACCGTCCAATCACAGTTTCAAACTTGATACAAAATATAGGAAAATTCAAAAAATTTTCAACAAAATTAAATCTTTAGAACATTTTTGGGTATGCAGTTTTATAGCCCATACAATTTTAGTCTAATGAAGTGCAAGTTTCAAACGGATAAAAAATCCCGTTGATTTTGGGGAATTATGTTTACGGGTTTTTGCACTTTTTCGAATATATGCATGAATTTCTTATGAAATAAAATACGGGAAACCGTTAGTAATAAAATCTCAAAAAATCTACTTCAGTTTTTGTTAATTGCACATATTACATAAAAAAATCGCAAAAACGGTCTCAAAAAAAAATTTCAAAAATCAACGCGATTTTTCAGCCGGTTGAAACTTGCACTTCGTTAGACTAAAATTGTTTGTGCTATAAAACTGCATACCCAAAAATGTTCTGAAGATTCAAATTAAAAAGTTGAAATTTTTATGAAAATTTGCTCAATTTTTCCTTTTTTGTATAAAGTTTATAATTGTGACTGTATATTTTTGGTTAAAGCTTGGACGGTATTTTTATAGAAAAATAACAGAAAAAAATTTAGCTCAAAAAACATTACGAAAAAGTATAAAAAAAATTAACACATGGTAATTTGTTTGAGTCACTGTATTTGAATTATTTAGTATGAGGACCGCACTGTCGAATTTTTATTTTTTTTGTTGTATATTTTGTTTTATTTTACGAGTCTTTTATTTTCTTTTATGCTATTATTTCACATAATCTATTCAAGTAATTTAATCTTTTAGAGTTGAATTTTATTAAAAAATACCACATCAACTGGAACTACATTTAAAGAAATAAAAGTAATAATTCACGGATTCAAAGGACGTTTTTAAAAATTTTCTGCCCGTGGGTTTTGAGCCCGTAATAATACCATCTGACAGAGTACAATTTTGATCAGATCAACTGCGCTGTTAATACGGATTAACGTTGCCGTCTGTTTATGCTATAAGCTTGGCCTCCTATAGAATCCTGCAGCAGGTTGTGGCCTTCTTCTTCGTAAACAATATTATGATATTCTCATTAGCCGCGACACTGGGACTCGACTTCGAAGTATATGATGCGATTTATATATTTTTTAACAATTATGTAAGTGTATTATATATGATTTGTTGCAACAGAGGTGCGACCGCTTTTTTCTTGATTGCGTTAGAAACTTTTTTGACATTAGTTATTAGAAAATTCTAGCACTTAATGAATTTGAGTTACATAGTGTTGCCATAAATGTATAATGGTATGAATTACATAACTATTTACGAAAATGCAGTTTAGATATTTTAGCTTAGCATTAACATGGACTATGTTTGATACATTTAGTAATTATACAATATACATATTTAAAATAAAAGAAAATTAAATATAGATATATCATAGAAGGATGCCCTTAAACTTAAACAAGCTTAGAAAACCTCGAATAATTTTAAATTATTATTGGACCGTATTCAAGTGTAATATATGTATACTCGATTTGCAAGCTTTAGATTATTTCTTTTTTAAGGGTATCTATTAAATAATAAATGTTCAGCTGTAGCAGTTTGTAGCAAAGATATACATACATGCATGGCTTTCGCTAGCGGTGTAAAAAATAGTGAAAGTAACATATTTATTTTTGATGACAGCAATCCACGTTATCTTTGTGTGTGTGTCTTTTATATCATAACTTCTAATTGGCAACAAATGTATCATAGTTTTGGAAGACATTAATTGTTCGCCATAGCCGCCTATTTCTTTTATGTGGCATAATTTAGGGATCACCAGCACTAGTTTCCTTGCAATGATTTGCCATTAGGTACAAACTGTAATAAGCCTCCTAAATGTATGCAATAATAAAAAACACTCCTACATTTTTTTCCTTGGGGAATCAGAAAATCGTCTAAAGCAGTGCTGCCGAAAACGTGCACTCTATGTAGTTTTGTCTTCGTCTTCTAACACCAATACTAACGATTTTTAATTAGAAACAAAAAAAAAATATTAGCAGCAGTGTATGCATGTATTTCGGTTAATGTTGGTAGCAACATGCTTCTGGAATTACTTGTTTGAGGATTTGGTTATTTTCAGGCAAAAAATCGGCGACCCGCTATTTTCTTTTAGTCACTAGTACTCATTCCAGCTGACGCCAGATAATAATTTTTGAAATCGAAAAAAATTTTCTAGCAGCATTGTTGCTAGCGGCAAATGGCATTCCTTTTAAGAATGTTTCATTTAATTTGAAAAAAGTTTAACTTAATTTGAATAAAGTTTCATTGAATCTGAAAAACGTTTAATTTAATTTAAAAATGGTTTCGCTTAGCCTGAAAAAGGGTTCATTCAATTTGAAAAAGGTTTCACTTAATTTGAAAATGGTTTCATTTAAACTGAAAACGCTATAATGTTTACAAAAACTGTTTCTAGCTTAAAACGGCAAAATTTGTATCTTACAAAATGTTGCTAGCAACATGTGTCTTCAGGCAGTACATATTTAATAAATCGCTTATTTTCGTAAGAGTCAGTTCCAGCTGAGGACCGAAAGTAAGTAATAAAATCGGGAAAAAATGTTTCAGCAACATGTTGCTTGTGCAAATGTTTCAAACATTACTTAAAAGTTAGGCAAAGGTTAAGATGGAAAGCTTTTCGCATCGTGTACACAAGAAGATAATTGCTGTGCGCTTGTTAAGCATCTAGTATATTCGAAAATAGTTACTAACTGTTTGTGCCTTTCCAAAATAGTTTTCATGCGTAATGAAAACAAGTAAAATTCCAACTAAAAAAAATTCTTTTTGTGCGTTTGTTCAGATTATTATATTAATATTTAGTTTAAAACTTAGGACCTAATTTGATTGCTAAATTTCTGAAAGCCATTTCCAACTTTCCTCTTGGCACTAATTTTATGTATTTTAATTTTAATTACATATATGAATTTATCCTACTCTTCATATTTTTTTTTTCAAGGACGTTTAGCCTACTTGCTCCTGTATCCAGAACGTTGCAACAAATTTCTTTCATTGCATTTAGCTGCTACCAGCTGCGAAACCGTTCGGTTGCCTGGCTATGTTGCTTAGCAAATTGATGCCTCTTAACTACCCTCAAACCACCGCCCAAATGCAATTTCTTTTCAAATAATGTACTTTGATGCCCTCTGAAAATTCTTGCTAAAATTCCTGTTCACTCGCCACCTCATATTTTCCCATTATTCATGGACTTGCGGCTCACGAGTGTATTTTGATCCTGTTGATCCCAAAAATCATACCACGGCCCATATGTTTTGCCATAATGATGCCGCTCTTTGTCACTACCACCCCCACCACCACCACCAGCACTCGCGTGCCCATTTTCGCGTGATTTATTTGATTTTGATGCGCGCTCTAAAGTCATACTTGTCATGTTGCTCGATTTCATGAGGCGCGTGCGTGGCAATATTGTTGCTGTGGGTGTATTCATAACCGAATTTGCATTGACGTTCGAGTTTCGTGTCAGCGTCGAACTGTTATTCATGCTGTAACGATCACGCTCGCGCTCGCGTTCCCTATCTCGCTCTCTCTCTTGTTCGTGCAACTCCTGTTGCTTCTTCGATTTGCCGCCGCCCGCAACACCGCCAGCTCCGCCCCCACCACTGCCATTACGTTGCTCGCCGCCATTTAATTTATTCTTCTTGTTGACGCCCTGTTGCTGCATAGCCGCCGATGTGGTTGTGGCGCGAAATGTTTGAAACTCCATTTGATGCTCCTGATAGGAGTTGTGTAGCTGGCGCCGATGTTTCTCGTCCTTGCGCACCAAATGATCATTAATTACTATGCAGTCGTAGGGGTCCGAGCTGGTCGATTTGATTTCCACATCATCGGATTCATCCTCACTGGTGTAGTACTGCTTCAGTATATCCTTGCGCTTCACTGTCTTCATAATCATGCCGCCAGTGGTATTCTCGTGCGAGATATCGTCGAAGAAGTTATTGACGTCACTCATCTTGAGCGTGCCATTGTCGTCGCTGTCGGCGTCCTCATCTTCGGTGGAGTGCGGAAAATCTTGCTGCTTACCACGCGTCTGTGATTGACCACCACTACCGCTCGATTTCATCTGCTGCAGACTGGCATGCTTTCCAACGTTAGCATCCACATTGTTGGTCTGGTGCTTCTTGTGGCTGTTGCTCATTGTTTCGCGGCGTGACGACTGCATGCCAGTCGTGGTACCACTTTTGTTCTTGTTCTCACTGGCGCGCGCACTATTTATATTCACCTGTGGCAGCATGCCAGCCGTTTCACGATACTCCTTCTGATATTCTTTTTGGCCACGCTTTATTGTGCTCAATCTCTCGCTTTCTATTGGATTTTCAATATCGATCTCGATCGTTTTCATGATTTTCATGCGCGATTTGGGCGTGTACTCTGCGCGCATTGTGGTCGCATTCGATTGTATTGAGTTGCGATTGGCTAAAATGATATTCTCGCGCTTCACCGCCGGGCTCATGCCATAGATATTCTCGTCATCATCGTACACTTCCATGCTGGTAACGCTGTCATTGCGACGCTTTTCCGCCGATGAAGTTGAATTGTTGGAGTGTGATTTGGTTAGCGTGCCATTTTTGTCGATGTTATTACGCGAACGCTCCCGCTCACGTTCACGTTCGACCCCATTTTCAGGTTCATCGTCATGTTCCACGTGTCCATTCTCCTTGTGCGGTGGACTATCAGTGCGCAAATCCTCTAGATTTGGTGCGGCTACTAAATCACGATGTTGCCAGAGCGACATGCCCGCCAGTATATCTTCGCCGCGTCCACCAAATTTCCAAAAAGACTTTGTTCGCTTTATGCCGCTACTCGATGCTTGCAGTATTTCGTCATCACTGGCAATAAGATCATAACGCATTTTCGTATTACGTCGGCTGAGGCCATTCAAAGCCTTGTCGTCAATCTGACTGTCGACGCTGTTACGGAAATTGCGATTCAGTGTCCACGAGGTGACGTCTCGTGAAATATGGGAATTGGTGTCAGCACGACGACTGTGGGCTCGAATGTGTCATGAAAAATGGAGGCAAGAGAAAGCCAGTGTGGTCCGTTGATGGGTACGCAATGTTTTTAGATATTCAAGCGATTTTGGTTTTAAGTGGGTTTTTGTTGAAATTTTCCAATTGTTCGGGATTTAGCATTGTACATTTGTGTTTATGATTCGAGTTTTACAGGGTTATGCAACGGAATTTGATTAGCAACACAAAATTGATGAATGGGGCATGAAATGAAAAGAGTTACAAAAAGAAACAAAAATTAAAATGATAAATAAAATATAAGGAGAGACAGAAAATTTTAAGTTTCTTTTGGGTAGACTATTTTATGGCGATTTCATTTCTACCGAAAAATATTACATTGTTATTGCCCTCCAAGTAGAAACACTAAGAACCGCGCAATAAAAAGGCAGAATTTATTGTAGAAACGAAACCACCATTATTCATACATATGTATGTAAATATGCATGTAATTATTCTTTTGGTTACGACCTCTAGAGTCCACTTCAACTCTCTTCACTCTGTAACCTATAACGAGTTAACTGTATTATCTATGTTTTTGATTTCTTATTTTGTATGTTCAATGTTCCATCACCTTTCACGTTTGATCTGTGATTTGCGATGTATTATATCTGATCTATGAATCAAAATCAATGTTCTAACATTCATGATTCATGATGCATGAGCGATAATAAATTATGTTTTTTTTTACTAGGATTTATGTATACATATGTACTCTATGATCTATAATTTCTGTTGTGTTCGTTTATAATCTACGGGACATATTCATAGTCAAAATAAAGTCTAATCTAACGTTAGTAGAAGCTTTTTTGACGATATCCCATCGAAAAATATTGATTTTCAAGAATTCTGTACCATTTCTACAAAAAGTTTTTTCTCCATATAAAATACATGGAAAACTTTGGGCGCTTTGAGCGACCTCTCAATATTTTTTGATTTCGAAATAAAAAAATATGGGTATATTTTCTTCGGTATATAACCATCCTAGGGGATGAGAGCATAAAAATTCCGACTTAACTTTTTTACATGCATTTTTGGACCACCCTAAAGTACATACACATGTCGAAAGTTAGGTAATAACTTTGAATGGAAAACAATTGATCGTTCAACAAAAAATATATTTCCGGGTACGGATTCTCCCCGCGGATGAGCAAATATATAGTTCTAGTTTGAAATCTGAAGTAAATCTGAATGAATCTGTCCTACGATTTCTGTCGATCCATATTTGGAAGCAAAACTTTTTGCTGAGACAATTCTTATATCAGTATTATTTCGCGTTTAATGTTGCCGTTTAAAGCTAGCTGGTTGTGGAAACGAAAATTGCCGCGTATACATATCATCGATGCCTTTAAAAAGTCGCCTACCGACCAGTAGCAAAACCGCCTAAATCGCCATAGTGGGAAAAATTTTATTTGCTAACTCGGAACTCCAGGTACCGAGCTTCAAGCATAAAAATCGTAAAACCGTAATTCCAACAATTTTTTTTTTTTAAATGTCGCCTATCAAGTCAAGGGCCTTAGAGAAAAAATATATTTCTTCGCCATCCTTTAAAATAAGAGCGCCGTAATATAGGCGGTTTTACTACTGGTCTATAAGCGGTTTTGCAAATCAGGGACAAAAAATTATCATTCAGGTATGTTCTGAAATTCGAAACTTTGAAATCGAGTCGATTTGCCAAATATTTTTTAATTATATCTGATGAAAGGAGTGAATATTCTCACTGAAAACTGTAAAAGAAGCAGCAGCGATATGAAAAAAAATCATTTTAATGCGAGACTTGTAATTTTTTAGGTTAAGAACCATCGAAGAAATGATCGAAATCGAGTCGATTTCAAATTTTCGAATTTCGGAACATGCCTGATTGTTTTTTGTAATTTTATCCAAAAGAAAATCAACAAGTTGTAATCGTTGTAAAACAATTTTAACTATGCGCATGTATTTGTGTTCGTATGTTCTACTGTAGTTTATAATGATTTTAATTTTTCGAATTTAATCAATAAAGATTAAAAATAATAATTAATATTTGAGTTATATTTTTTCGCTCAAAGCAAAATATTATTACTCGGTTTTTATTTTTTCGATTTCTTAAGTCCCAAAATTTTCAGGTCAAAATTTCAGTAAATTGCGTATGTCTGGCTGGAAAAGATAAAAACTATTATTTTTATACCCGAGCGCACTTGTGCACAAGGGTATATTAATTTTGTTCACATAACGGTTGTTTGTAACAGCCAAAACGAATCGAGATAGATATAGACAAATGTATACATAAATGATCAGGATGAAAAAAGAAATCGATTAAGCCATGTCTGTCTGTCCGTCCGTCCGTCCGTCTGTCCGTCTGTCCGTCTGTCCGTGTACACGATAACTCGAGCAAAAATTGAGATATCTCAACGAAATTTGGTATGTAGGTTTCCCTTAAGCCAAGGTAGGTTGGTATTGAAAATGGGCGAAATCGGACTTTAACCACACCCACTTCCCAGAAATACGAAAACTGCGATATTTTAGTAACTACTGAAGATAATTCACTCAAAATTGATATTTACAATAATTTTTAGACGAAAATGAAAATGGGCGTAGCCACGCCCACTTATGGTTACATGTGTATATCTTGGTAACCGCTGCACCAATTTCTTCCAAACTTGGCACAGTTGTTGGCCTTGGTACAGCATAAAAAACCGCCGAAACTTTTTAAAATCGGACAATAACCACGCCCACATCCCATATAACGGTAATTTAGAGAAATACAAAATCTTCGATAAATCATTAAATATTGAAGCTAATTTATTCAAAATTGATGCTTGCAACAATTCTTTACCAAGAAATACGTTTATGGTAAAATTTTGGAAAATGGGAGTGGCACCGCCCACTTATGATCACATATAAGTATACCGGTAACCGTTCTACCAATTTGTACCAAACTCGGTATGGTTATTGTACTTGCCACGTGTAAGCAAAACGTTGAAAATTATTGAAATCGGACTAAAATAACGGCCGATTCTCATATAACGGTAAATTTAAGAATTGCTTAAAACTTCAATATTTCGAAATTGAAGGACGCTAATTTACTCAAAATTGATACATCTCGGCTTACCATCTAGCGGAAGGTTTCGGAAGGGTGAAAAAACATATATTTAATACTTGCGCCGGGTATTTAATGTTCGGCTCCGCCCGAACTTAGACTTTCTTACTTGTTCTGTATATTTTGAACTAGTATGAGACTGGTATATTTCTGACCGAAATCTAACAATTGCCATCTCGTACGATATCCCCATGTTAAAAATACCAGTTGAGTGCATGGGAAAAAGATAGTTGGCTGACTAGTTGGGCATGCGGTTTATACTAGTTGTGAGCTAGTTTACAGCTAGTATATTTGACTACACGGTTGTGATCGAGAAAATAAGAATCAAATAATAATTATTTCCATTGAGCGAAAAAAAAACTCACTAATAATTATTATTTTTAAGCGAAAAAAATAAAAACCATAAAATAATGATTAAATGCTGATTTAAATTATTTTACTCATAGCGATTACCGTCCCTGTTGCAAATACATCGACGATATGCCTTAGGATACCGAGGAACCTTTTAATATAAATGACCAACACTTTTATCGTATCTGCTCGATTTTAGATAGACATTTCCTATTATGGCATGCCGTACTGTAGGGCCGAATATATGGATTTCGGAACACATTGTTTTTTTAGTAATAAGAAGGGGGATAATAACCATACTGGACAGTCCCTGGGATTCACAGATAATCCTTACCAAAAGGAAACTGCGTCTGTGAAAAGAGCAAAGGCAAGCAGTTGAACCTTTATTCGCATTCGCAAAGAACTCTAATTTTCTAACTGATTCGTGGCAACAAAATGGCTGTGGAGTTAGCACGGTGCAACTCAGCTCTGGCGCTATATCAAAGTTCGATCCTCTCAGTAATGGTCAAACGTAGCTAACCACAGGCATAGAGATCCACAATACTGCAGGGTCTATAGCTATGTTTAGCCTTACTACTACTCCAAGCGGTCTACAATTATCATCAAACTGAAAAGTAAGGATTTCCCTGTACCATCTGCTATTTATTCGGGACATTGGGGCTCTAGTTGCAAACAATGCAAGACAGCTTTAGGGATACAACATTTTGCTTTAGAAGCTGGAACTCATTAAAAGCAGAAAAAACGGTAAATCATCCCCTGTGCAACTATCTAATATCTAGAGTAAGGTTTCTTGAAATCGTTTTTTGTTTAACAAAACCAAAATCGCGTATGCTTTAGTGTTTTAAGTTCCTGGATTAAATTTGACCAAAGTAACTGAGAAGTCCTTCAACTCGTTCAGGTTAAATTGAGAGTTTTGATACTAAAAATTACGCTTTCAAGAGCCCTTACGAATTTTCGTATCTACTTAATTAAAATTTTCTGTCTCTCCAAAAAATTAAAAAAAAAAAATTATTTTAGCCCAAAATGTTAAAACAATTGCAAAAAAAAAGTGTGCACATAATGTTAGATATCATTGAATAGCTTTTAGCCAAGTTAGTTACAAAGAAGGAAAATAAAAATTTTGTGTATACATACTTTGTGCGAGCATGTGACAAATACAACAAGTGTCAATCAATTTCCAGTAACTTCACTTCCACTACTCACCGTATGGGCACTCGACTCGTTTGCTCCTCATCCGAGTAATCAATTTCGGGTTGTGGCGGCGGCTCATTGGCAAAGCCACTATCATTGCTGCTGTGCAATGAAGTCTTAGCAGCCGCGGCGGGTTTCAATTGACTACCACCACTGCCAGCGCTCATCGATGTGGACTGTTGTTTGGCAGATAGAATAGAACGATTCTTTAGTTAGAGAAAAAAGTGGAAATTTAGAGAACGTTTTTTTAGGTGGCGCTCCTAAAAAACAGAGCTCCACAACTCACATGTGCAGCTTGTGGTCCATTTTGTAGCTTATGTTGCTTGCGTCGCTCCATCACCGAGGGCACGCCATTCGGGGCGCCACAAAAGCTTTGCGATATATTCAATATACGACTGGCACTTTGACTCTGACTCTGACTATTCGATGGCACTGGTGCTGGTAGTGTAGGTGGTGGACCGGGACGTGGATTTGCGCCGCTGGCTGATGCGCGATACTGCGGGAGAGAATGCAAAGAAAGTTATTATGCAAACAAACAAAATTTTCAATTATGTAATTTCTCACACAAACCTTCTTTTGATTTCTGAATGTGTCGCCGAACATGCGCGTCGGCGATGACTCCTCGGCGCTATTATTGCGTCGGCGGTATGTTGAATCGCTCTCCATGGCAGGATCCATATGCACCTCGGGCATATAATGATCCTGATAGTTGCGCATGCCGCCATTTCGCTCGTAATGCACATTCTCATAACGATCGCTGCTGCGTTCGGTGTGACGTTCATTCACGTGATATTTTTCACGTTCACCAGCGCCGCCGCCCTCGGCATTGGTGTAAGCGATGGGGAACCAACCGAACATTTGAGTGCGTAAATTCTCACCGAACTGCCAACCTTTGGCCTTGCTGCCGACCAAAGCAATGCGATCGCCCTCATCGAAGGGCAGCTGATTTTCACCCGAAGGCATGTAGGCATAGAGCGCTTTCACCACAGGTCGTTGATCCCATTGGCCGTGATCGGTGTGGTCATTGGCTGCGGAAAAATTATTCTATGAAATTTTTAACGAATTTCAGCTATTGACTATTTGAAAGCTTGAAAGTTAAAACGGTACACATAATTTTGAGTCATATTTAATTTAGAAACTGAACTAATTTTTGTCCATCCGCAAACTGGAGATAAGATAAACTGTTAGTGACATAAAATGTGAGCTCTTAAATATTGGACGATTTTTTTTTTTGATAATTTAAAAGCTGAAAATAAATTTATTTCAATAAAAAACCGCACATAAATTTTTTAAAATTTATAATCATGACATAAATTTTTGGTAACTCTCATAAGTGTAAAATTATGTCCACTTGACGGGACTATTTAGCTGCACAGGTTTTAAATCAGCTAAATTAATGTCCCATATTAAAATTAACGCAAATATATGTCCAGATTTTAATTGGCCAAAAATATGGCATTGGTTTAAAATTACAAAAAAATGTATGCCCAGTTTTTTAAATTACGGAAAAATCTGCAAATTTTAAATAATCAAAAATCTACGCTCAGTTTTTATACTACCAAAAATATGTCCGATTCCTAAATTGCCAAAAATTTCAATTTTCAAATAATTAAAATTAAATCTAATTTTTAAGTCACTAACCAGTTTTTTAATTACTAATAATTGAATGCCTGTTTCTAAATAACCGAAAATTTATGTCCAGTTTTAAATTAAAAAAATTTCATATGTATGTTCGTTCAGTTTTTAAAGGCCAGTAAATTACACATGTCCAGTATTAAGATAGCTAATAATTTATGTCCCGTTCCAAATAGTCAAAAATGGTCAAAAATTTATGTTCAGTTTTAAATTATTAAAAAGCGTATTTCGTTTTTAATTGCAAAACAATAAAAAAGTCCTCAAACCATCAACCATGAATGTCCAGCTTTTAAATCGCCATAATAGTTTTTAAATTACCAAAAAATTATGTCCAACTTGTAAATTTCCAGTTTTCGAAATACCAAAAAAAATTTTTTTTTTTTAAGTTTCAAACTATCCTAAATTTATGTCCACTGTTTAACTTCAAGCATTCACTTCGCTACAGCAGCGCTACTTACAGTTCGTCACCGTTGTCAGATTGTAGTCGGATTTGGCGCGCGGCAGAGAATTCTGCGTGTAGCTCACATGGCTTTCGTGCAAGGTACGCATATCGCCGTAGGGCGCGTCCACGCTGCGTGATTTCTTCAGCTGTGATGATGACGAATTGCCAACGGCATGCATGTCCTCACCATCTTTGAGACGCTCCTGCAGCCGCAATTAGAGCAAAGCAGGTAGTGGAAAATTAAACAAAACAAACCAAAAAAAAAAAAAACGTAGCAGTCAATTTAAGTTAATAATCGTGAATCCGCACAAATCTCTACTTATTGCAGACATACGTACGTATGAAGGTAGTATGTATTTTGGCGTTTCCTGTAGTACTTACCATCCTCTTGCCACTGCTGGCATTGCTGTAGCTGCCAACGCCACCACCGCCGCCGCCCATCTCATACAAGGCAGCCGCTGGTATCACTTCACGTGAAGCGGCAATTTCTTGCCAATTTTCCAAATTGTTATCAATTACCATCTTGCCAGTGCTGTGATAGGCCATCCAATGCTTGGCTATGGAACATTGGCGTTCAAGCACGAAACCATACCGACGGCGCTCCTGTGTCATGGCCTATTAGCGAATATGAAAAATTCCAAAGAAATATTAAAACCAGCTGTTTATATGAACTTTAAAATGTGTAGCTGTAGAGGCTTAAGTATGCTTTTAAGCGCAAATGTTTATATGTATGTACATATGTATGTATATGCGCTTGCGCTGTATACGCTTGTGCCTTATTAAAGCAATTGTACGCAATTTTACTCACATTTTTGTAGCTTTGTTCGCAGAACGTATCCAATTTCTTTTTTTGATCCTCCAATATTTGGAGATTCTGCAAAAAGAGAGCAACACAGTTGTATTAATAAGGTATTAAGGAGTCTAATTTGGATGATAAAAGGTACGTGGGAAAATATTAGTTTGTTAAAAAAAATTGTGCAACTAGAATCATTTTTTCAAGTTAAGTAGATACTGGGCACTGCCCGCCGTGCGTTGCTAATTCACGCTCCTAAAATCTTTGAGGACACACAAGTGGCATTTTTATTGATATGATCATCAAAAACTTCTCCTAGATGGCTTTTCGTTTGATGTCCTTATTATAGTTGTGTTTAAGAGATAAGAGCAGCTGTCAAAAAAAAAAGGGGAGCAAGTTAGACCAACTCAGATCAGAAATCTCACGAAACACTTTTCAGGCAGAAATTCCCAAAATAGTTTCTTGCTCGAAGTTACTCCATTAAAAAAGCGATAGCGGAAAATCGTGCTCTAAGTTGCTCTAGTTCCACTTAGCGCAGGCTCATGGAACAGAAAGTAGAGCAAGTTAGAACAAGAAAAATCCTCATGAAATACAATTTTGTGAGATATCTTAACCTGGCGTAACCTAGAGCAACTTACTAAACATAACCTTTGTATATGTTTTGAAAGTTGGCCACCCTAGAGCAGCTTATTAAACATAACCTATAATTTGTATATGTTTTGAAAGTTGGTAACCCTAAACAAAAATTTTCAGAGATTTTTAAGCACCTTACGTTTGATATTTATATTAAAATTTTTTATTTTTTTTTTGGTAGTTGGCAATCCTATACAAAAATATTTCCATATCGAACACATTAGTGGCTAAAATTTTTAAGTTGCAACCCCACATACCTAAACATATTTTTAAGTAAATTTGTTTGAACTATTTTCATTTGATGCTCAGATTGTAATTTTAAATAAATGGAAACCCTATTTCAAAATATTTTCGTATTAAAGACCTAAGCGATACTAATTTCCAGTATATGGCTGCTCTAAATCAGGGACCGAAAATAACAGTTATTTTTTTAACAGTTAAACATGGCCAAATATTTTTTAAGGCCGAAAGTGTTTTCCTAATATTAAACAAACCGCTTATCTATATTAAAGAGAACTAAAATAGAGTTAGTGCGTAAAAATATTAAGCGCCAAAGTCGAAAAAAGGCGAGAAGAATGGCACAAAATTGTGCTTGCTGGGCATATACCCACCGATTACTTGAGTTTTATAATTTGACGTGTACAACACTGTTCTAGCTATTCAATATAATATAGACAGTTTCTAAATATCGCTCACTCACCCTTAACTCTTTTTCCGTATTCTCTGCACTAGCCTTTTTCTTGCGTTGCTTTTTCATTGTGGAGACTGCCTTCTGATAACTCTCCATGCGTACTTTGTGCTGTTGCAAGAATTTCTTTTGTTCATGTTGTACAACTTTTGTATCCTTTTCCAAATTTGTTTCCAATGGCACCAATAAATCAACATAGAACGCTTTTAACTAATAATAACGAAAAAAAAACAGAAAATTATAATTTTATGCATAAAACATAAGTTATGATTTATGATTCAGTGGCACAAAAACTAATAACATTCTATGGTTACTCACAATATTCATTTGTTGTTCTTGAATTTCTTTGTAAACGCTGACGACGTTCATTAAAGCCGCACCTTCAGAAAAACAAGAGAAATATGTATAAAAAATTATTAATTGAAAAAATAAGAGTGCAAAATAACAATACACATTAAAGTTAACGCTTAGCAGTTCGTGAACAATGAAATGCCTTTGAAAAGCATTTGTGTGTATCTCATGTCACACACTTATCTAACAGCTAGCAGCGGTTAACTGCACATAAGCTTTAGCTCTATACAATTTGTTGCCGCAACATTGTGTAGCAACACGTGCAGCTAGAAGATACTGCTATCTTGTAATTAGTTTTTGAATACGCTAGTATAGGCTGCTAGATAGACGAATCCTGCTTGTTTACCTTGTTTTTTTTTGTAGCTTTATATGCTGCTATTTTTTTTCTATTAATATTTTTCGCATATTTTTTTTTCTTCTTACCAATATCGTTAGTTCCACTTTGTTGTGCATTCATTGCCAGCTTGGCTAATGCTTCATTGAATAGACGTGACGCAGATGCAGCACCTGTGCAGCAACGGAAAATTAAGGAAGATCATCACATTAACATACAAAATACTTGGACATTTCGTAATAAATATATTCTAATGCTGATTGCTTATGATTATAATGCTACTTAATTTATTTTTACGACCAGCTATTTATCATATTTTTTTAGTATGTTTTTCTGGAATATTTTTTACTCACCATGCAGAGCTTTGAGATAACCCTTGCCCGCGGAGATGAGTTGACGTGCACCGGGATTAAATTTCTCTAATATGTTCTGGAAAATAAAACAAAAAAGGAAAGGTTTATGATTTTTTGCCTGGATCGTTAAATTGAGTAGTCTCTTACGTTAATCTAAGTCAATTTAAAATTTTAGTTAAATCTTAATTAAAATACCAATTGTTTACTATTAATACTATTAACATAGGAGTACACAAGTACACAAGTTTGTCTATCGAATAACGAAATTACTCATAGAAATGCAAATTAATTATCTGCTCCTAAGTATAGTACAAGTTGTGAAAAATATATATTCTTAAAATGTATGAACTAAGCGCATAGTCAGTCGCCAACTGCATGCTACTGCAATGAGTAACTGATAAAACGTAGTGTGTACCATAATTCATAGATACATATTTTTTACTGTATATGAACTGCAGTCATTTCTATTATTAAAAGTCACGACGTGCTAGACGTGCATGGCATATCTGCTAAATGTTTATTTAATAATTATCGCCAACGAATGTTGATAAAATCAAATTGTAAATGTTTAAATGATAATATTTATTTAAATTATTACATGTAAATCAATGAAAATTGTTTGGACTTAAGCGAAATGCTTAGAAGGACACTCGAATGTATTGCTATAATATTTTTCTTACATTTATAAAATGTTTAGCATATTTTTATTGTTGGCGGCCTAAGCAATTGTGGCCCAGTCCAACTCCAATATCTTCCGATGTGGGAATAAAAAGCTATAATTTTTTTTATCTGTTTCCCTGTCCTATAATTACCTGTGATGTCCCTACATTTGCTCGTCATTTAAATTGGAAGGAATAAAAATTGACTCGATTAACTCTTTGATGTAAAAGCGAAATGAACTTCCCATAGAATTATAGCCCATTTCCACTAAAGGTTTCAAGAATTTAAACATGCGGTAATCAGCAAGGTTTATTTTTTACTTTTTGCTTTTATACTTCCGCTTGCTTGTACTTAATAAGAGCATTTACCCCCTTCGAGTAATAATCTCCTATTTCCAATAGGCATAAACTGCAGTTAAGGCTTTGGGGAAATGAACTACTACTCTGCATATAGAGAAGTTTTTTCAACGTTGCCTTATTTATTATTATTAACCCACTTCCAAAAAATGAGGAGGTTATCAGTTCGTCGGAATATTTTTTTTTATGTATGTTATCGCATAACTTTGGACCACGTCAACCGATTTCAATCAGTGGATCATGAGATATATATATATATTTTTTTTTTATATGAGAGTTGAAGTCGGTTTTTTTGCTAAAAATTACTTGTTTTCTTTTCTAAGCTTTTGAAATGTAGTAACAATATTTTCTTTCTAAACACTTTCTCCGACAATAGCAGTATTTCCTTTCTTTTTTTAAACTTCCTGTTCGATTTATAAAAGCAGGATTCCGACCAAAGACGTTACATCAGAAAGATTTTAAATTAGCTAGAAGAATGGGGTTAAGATAGTTTCACCAAACAGGGTCACAGTTTACCCATAAGAATTTGTCATTTATAATGCCACTACGAACGGTAAAAGTTAAGCCACAGCGATAAACGACAAATGTAATAAACTAAGTTTCACAGATGGAAGATTTCCATCCAGGCCAGCTATTATTGTTGTTGTAACGGCTACTCAACCCTGCTTAGATCGGCTTGTCTTTCAATAGTTGTCGTCAAGCTCGACTAACGGAATACCCAGGAATCGTGATATTCTATTGGGTTTGCCCATAGGGACAGAGGTGTTAGCTGAGAGGGGTTTAAGAGGCATGCAAAGCGATGTCTCGAAACGTGGGGTATCTCTCCGTATGCCGGGCACTCGTTGGGCACATCTGCTCAGGTACGAATTTAACCTGCAGCAGTAGCCAGAGCGAAGTTGAGCTATTGTGGTTCGAGCCTCCTGAAACAGACAAAGTTCTGGACTGTCGGTATGCTGTCGGGTCCAGAGGTAGGGTTGTCCACGTTGGTGACACCCTACTAGAATTGTTTGCAGAGTATTGTATTATGCTCCCTGATGGGGGAGAATTTTTGTCTTGTGGCGTAGATAGTGTTGTGGCGACATCAGAAGAAATCCGGCCGCCATCCAGAGTGCCGTGTTTTGGCAGGTCTGTACCTATGTCCACTGCGTGCCACTAGTCCCCGCCGACCACATGGCGCTGCATAGTTTAGAACCTGCCGACTAATTGCCTTGTATGTTGCCAGCAACGTTTCTGTGTCTTTTCCCCAGGTGCTGCCGGCTACCCATTTCAGGACCTTGTTGAGACTCTTTAGTCTATTTACAATCACGGTTGTATGCGCCGAGAAGGAAAACAGACTATGGAAGGTAACTCCGAGAATTTTCGGGTTATTCACCATCGGAATTTGTACACCATCGAAATGAATTCCCAGCTGTAATCTGACCTCCTTCGTCCGGGTGGTAAAAAGAGTTGAGGGGGGAGCTTTAAGTGAGCTCCTCAGGGCTGATTAAAATCTGGATAGTTTGAGAAGAAGTGTTGACATTTTTCCACCAACTCGTCCACCAAACAGCTGCAAAATAAAGGATCCAGTGTGATACTAAGTCCCATCGCGTGAATTACAATCCGATAGTATCATGTCAATATGGCCAACAGAATTGAGAGTTATGGCTTTGATAAATTTTTCCATCCTGAACAAACAAGAGTCCCATCTGTTCAAGAGTAGTCCTCTTGTAATCAAATGTTTCTCTCTTTTTTTCGATTAGATCGACTCGAGGTTGCCCTTTCTGTCCAACTAGTCCACCGTGCAGTTTCCTAAAATATTACTGTGGCCTGCCATCCATGCCCATATCGTACACGATCTTCAAACACAACTCAAAATTTTACGTTCGTCAGAAAATTCGAAAAACTATTTTTTGGGACATGCTAATTATATTGACAAGGAAGACTGTAACTTAGATTTTTTCAACAAATTAAAACAAAAATTTTCTCTAGCTTTTGCTGAGAGGTAAATAAAAGCTTTGTGTACATTTTTAATACATAATTTCAAAAATGCCAAATGGTTCTGTCACTTTCGAAGATCGTGTGCGATATGTAGTAGTTGCCCCCAACCTACGTCCAGAAGCAAGACGACAAATGGTTGAGCTCCAGAATGAAGGGAAACTCTTGATTTATTCACAAACAGTAAGGCGAGTAAGGTTTGAAGGCCTATACCTATCAACATTTCTTAAGAAACAATGTAACTGTACAATGGCAAAATAAGTTATTAGATCCCACCGAGATGTGATGAAATATTTTTCCTCAAATTATCAGAATTACTTGACTTACTATGCTCACTGCTTACGAAGATATACAAAGATCCTAACCTCTGCCACATTCCAAAGAAGTGATTTGTCAGAGGGTTTATACAAAGAGGAGGTAAGGCTTTGCATGTCAAAGCTAAATATTCTGAAAAGGCTACTATATACGCAAACTCATACAAGCATACTGTAAAAAAAGTCCATGGACTTTGCACTCCAAAAAAGTCTGCCTAATATTGATAGAGGACTTTTTCTTCTTTCGCGTTTGAAAGAGAGCTTGCATTCAAACAAGATTTCGATATAGAAGGAGCATTTAATAACGTGTATCCCTTACTTTGGAACCTCACCGTTCACAGTTCTTTTGAGACAGCAAAAAATTGATTACCAAGTTTAGGCTTATACTAGCGACATAACATTGAAAAATTATCTCCAGATTGTAGACGACCTTTTTTCTGAACGCTCCATGAAACTATAAGTCCCTACTAATATTTCAAAGTAAATAATTAAAGTTTAATGCATTTCACTTAAGTATATGAAACTCACTCTCCTTCTAGCTTTTATTGTCATATTTTAGTAGCTGTGCGAAGCGCTTGTCCCACTTTTTCATTAGACAACCATAAACATAAATATTTAAAATTTTATACCACGCAATTAGTTTGTATTTTTATGTACACACCTCTAGGTTTTATGCAAATGTATAAAAATATTTAGCATTTGACACAGATACCAAATTCATTCTTGGCTTAGGGAGATGAGAGCAAATAGCGGCTGTGCGGTATAAGCATGCGCAAATGCAAATCAATGACTGAAAAGCATTTTAACGAGCTTTAGAATAAAAAAAAGCATTAAGTAAATGATGATGGTGTGCTAAGAAAAAACTAATGATAATTAAATAATGAAAAAGGCTAACAGAAGAAAGAAATAATACAAGAAATTAGAAAAAAAACATTTAAAGATAAGAACTGTGAGAAAGCTCACTTTATTGCTTTTGTAAATAGAAAAGTTGTAGAGTTAACGAGGTTGCTAATAATATAAATATGTATGTGGTGGAAAAATAAATAGGAACACAACATTTTTTCAAATTTTGCCTATGTTTCTTTCGTTTACTTAATATTTATTATTTTTTTTATAAAATTATAGCTCATTATTTAACAAAAATCATATTAATTCACATTTTAAACTTGTGCAAAAATTATAAAAATTCTGCAAAATCGCATCTAAATTTTCAACTTTTAAGATTTTTTAGACTTTTATGTTGGTAGTTTTATAGCCCATTAAATGTAAGTAGAATGAAGTGTAAGTTTTAAGTTGCTAAAGAATCGCGTGAATTTTTGGTAATAATTTTTAAAGCATTTTCTTCCATACAAAGTATGTTCGAGAATTTTTTTTTATGGAAAAAAGTGCATATTACATTCAGAATAAAAATAATCGAAAACCAAAGCAATTTTTTGGGAGCTTCAAACTCGCACTTTATTCCATTAAAATTAAATGGGCTATAAAACTGCATACTCGAAAAAATTCTGAAAAATCTGATTAAAAAATTGTAAATTTAGATGCAATTTCGCAGAATTTTTATAATTTTTGCACAAAGTTTCAAATATAAAGGTGCATGGTTTTTGTTAGATAATGAGCTACACTTTTATAAAAAAAAATAATAAATATGAAATAAACACCAGAAAAGTTGGAAAAATACGTTAAAATGTCGTGTCCCTATTTATTTTTCCCCGCCTGTAGTATATTATCGTGATCCTGCATTTTTTGCAGCCATCCCCCATGCCACCGGGGCT